TTTAAATAATATTTTATTTAATTATAGGATACATTTTTCGGTGTTAAAATATCTCTTGATCCGCCTTTCACTGCATACAAACTGCGTCAGGTTTTACGAAATGACGTCACATCGACAAGTGCATCGCGATCAGTGACTTGTTTATACCTTGCTATGTGGAATTTAACTAAAGACAAAACAGCATGTTATAGTAAGTTTAGATGTAGTTTGATGGTTTCCTATAGTTAAAAATAGCAAATCATTTCATTTTCTAGTATTTTTAAGAAATGTTGGTTTTGTATGATGTCATAGTTAACTTTTCCCGTACAAATTAGGCTCCGCCCCCTTTTTGTAGCCTTAACTGTGCTGCGTGAACAGTGATGTAAAAATTACCAAAAATTACATAACAGTAACTACTATGCAATCTTTCTGTTAAACAAAAATAAATCAATTTTCTTGAAACCATAAAAAATCATCTTTATTATCATGAATTTTACCCCAGCTTTTGATTCAGCAAGACAATATAAACTAACTGACTTCATCACAAGATTAAATCCAGAAATATTGCTAACTGAATTCCAAATCAGACATCAATCACAAAATGCTGAATACCAGAGCACTTTTGCTTTGTGGCGACCATTCTTTCATCAACTGCCATCTCTCTGAAAGACTGGAGGAACTCCTTTGACTTGTCCAAGACATAATCAGTTCTGGTTGTATTCGCGCAATTAGCTTCTATCCTATAAAAGATTAAGTTTTTATAATTAAATAGGTATAATTATTATAAAGTTAATGTAAATTTACATATATAAAAGTAAGAAAGCTAGAATTAACACACTGATTATGTTGAAATAACTTTCCCTTTCAAATTAAAAGTATTTATTTAGAAAGTTTATGTAGTATGTGATACATGTAGTTACATGTATATGGTATGGGAACGTCTATGTACTATGACTAAAAAATAACAGCCTAGTAGTAAACCATCATTTCAGTCAATTATTGAGCTAAAAGAAATAACATACCCATTAATTCTATCAAAATTAAAATAAAACCTTTTTAAGTTTCGGCTGTCAGGGTTTTTAAGAGAAAGGCCACAATGGGCTGAAAACTGTTTCTCCAGGGCAAGATTCTTTGAACAAGGTTGTTTGTGTACATGGGAGTGTTGACGAATAGCCATCCATTGAATGAAGTTTTACCACCCATGTATATGTGATAATTCAAAGGAAACTGAAAATTGAGAAACAGAAATTCTAACCACATATCTCATGCAGATTGAAAATAACACAGCAGTCTATAAACGAAAGCTGGCTCCATATTTGAGCATAATGGGTGGTAAAATGGCGAGTTTACATGAATAATCATGCATTATAAATATCATGTGTATCACATATTTTTTTCAAAATATTAGTCAATTTTGAATGCAATATCAAGTAAATACAATTAAAAGTTCACTTTATTTAGAATTAATGTTTAGAGATACAGGAATTTTCACTACAAAAAGAAAGAAAAAATGATTTATCTGTTCATTGGTTATAATAAGCACCTGTGTCCTCCACATCATGGTCATTCCAGTGCATGGTAGGGTTAGCAAGTGGATCTTCACAGCTGAACGTTCCGAAGCCAGCACCCTAAATGTGCTGAAAATTCGATGTGTTTGTGTTAGACGACAACTCTCGAGAATTATGCCAAACTTGATTTTACTTTGAATGATACTTTGGGTGGCCATCAAAACTTATACACTTCTAAAACAACACAAAATTAGCTGAACAAGTATCAATCTAATAATGCGAGGTCATACCGGCTAACGCCTATGCATGTACATGTATCAGTATCAGTGTGCATAGTGTACCACTTGTTTTCATTTGAACGTGAATAAATGCAATTTCAAAACAGTTTTAAACTCTTCAACCAATACTTACTCACCTGTAATACCAATGGAATGACCGTCTTATCTGATGAATTGATGTAATGTTCTCCATCATAAAATAATCATGAAAATTGATGTTCACATCATGTTGTTTACTGCTACAGCGGAAACACGTGGTAATCTCGATTCGTATCAACTCATACAGTGATGAGTCGTGTAAAATTTATGCGAGATTTTTTGCTTGTTTCAAAATGGTTTAAATTTAAATTTCATGTCAGTATAGGTCTAATTATATTTATATAAAGAATATATGACACATAATCCAATATAAATTCTGACTTTTTCGACGTAAAGACTCTTAGGGAATATACATGTACATTTTTTTTTTTACTCAACATTATTGTATGTATAAAAATAGATAAATAAATTCATTATATGAAAGAGAAAACAAAACAAAAACAAAAACAAAACCACACTTCACTAAAGGTTTAAAGATATATTTTGTTGTTTTTTTTTTAACCAATTATTTTGTAAAAAGTATTTATTTCAATAAAAATATATAATAAAGTAGTACTAAACAATATGTTGTTCCGAGTGAGGCGCAACGAAATCGACCTTGACGTTAAATATTGATCAGCCCCGATTTTTCAACAAATATTACGCGGAGGTCCAAAATTCAAACTATCGTAATTCATAAAATACTGAGAGTTAGAAGACAAGTAAAGGCTTGTTGAAATGGAAATTTTCTTCACTTTTACAAGCTGTATTTTGTTTTCCCTATTTCAATATAGAAATACAAGTAAAAATGAGCTTTGTTTAAATATTATAAATAAAAACGAGAAAAAAACACAAACATGGAAGAAAATGCTTCTTTTTACAAAATATTTTAAAGTAAAAACAACAATTTTTACATATTTGAAAAGCAGAGAAAATATGCTTTTTAAATATATCAAACTTTCTTTATGCAATTAATCAGGAAAAAGTATGCCAATCGTCGGGAAAATCGTCCTTGCTTTTGAAATTTGCGCCATTTTCAAAAAGTCATGAATGTCTTCAAAACGAAAAATCTATTCATTACCGACGTATATGCTATAAAATTTTTACAGGGTTTAAAAGTAGAGAAAATTTCCTAAAAAATGATATATAGATTATATACCTTAATGCTATTATAAAAAGATACGGAGATCCTGTTTTCGCGAAGTCTTGTTTTAACGCGCTATCGGTCATATTGACCGATGCGGTAGAGAAGGGGTTAAGGACGCCCATAGGAATTATTCTTTAAGATATTCCGAGACAATGGATATAGTGTTGAAATTTATTTTAACATCATAAGTTTTCAGGACTTGGAATTCTGATTGATTGATTGATTGACCGATTATAAGGATACATATGTTGTTGTTTTTTTCATTCCGTTTGAGAATTTTTTATTGATAAAGAGACGTCACCATTTACTTGTGAATGGCTTCAAAATACCTTTACTCGGTAATCAGGGTCATTGACCAGTGAGGGTTCTTGTCAACGCCTACCGTGACACAGATCTTCGGTTTTTAAGATCTCACCCGAAAGACTAGTACCTTTCACTCCAAAGTGCCAAGCACTTGGCGAAGGAACAGTTGCTACCTTTTTTTATCGACTTAGGTCAGTCGCGGCCGTGATTCGAACACACGACCTTCCGATCACGGAGGATCACGGAGCGAGTGTTCTACCGACTGAACTACCGTGGCGGTGAATTGCAATTCTGATATTTGCATATGTATATTTCGGGTCTCTGTTGAGTTCGGCCACATTGACATCACATATACAGCCGTTTGTCTCGTGACAAATTTAAATTTAGAATATATATATATATATATATATATATATATATATATATATATATATATATATATATATATATATATATATATATATATATATATATATATATACACACAGCTACAAAGATCGTAAAAGTTCAACCATTAACTTTTTTTTCTCTATGAAATGTATTCTGCTTTCTTAATTGAAACTTATTTTTTCAGATGAAATGTGCTGGGAGCAACTTCTTCATGCTCCGGAAATAGATAAAATTAAGCCGTCTTTCGACAGTTTTCATACAAAGACCTTACATGCATTGATATAATTTGAAATCACGGATTAAAACAACCAAAAGAATCAGCTCCCAGCACTTTTCAAAATAGTAGCAATAATAGGTACACTTGTTTGAAAACTCATAATTTATTGTTTAGCAGATTCCTTTGAACGTAAGAGATATTCAAAAGGTTCAGTCTGTCATTCGTGTACTCTTACTGCACAAGTCCCCTTTACTGGGGCTTCATATAAGATATATACTTTTTAAATTCAATCTGAATATAAAATAGCTATTAAAAACTGAAGAATATGTCTCCATTTTGGTCAGATAACGCTTATTTCATTTTATTTTCACATTTACAAGATACGTTAATAACTAGATAGACACCTTCAGTACAGAGAAAACTCGTGTTAAACTAGTCAATGATGTCATCTCAATAAGTACAGCAAGAACAGGTTGGTTTTCATTCTACATTAGGATAGTGTTATTATGACATGTACAAGATAAGTTGCACAATGATTTATCTCTAAATTATTTATGAGAAACTAAGTACTTTAGCGTGTATTCAAAATAACATTAGCATTTAATCATCGAAATTCATCTGAATTGTTTTAATGTGGCTTCATAATTGTTTTCCCGAACCTCGGCGTGGGATGATGCAGGTATGAGAGTCAATCACCTAGCTGTGCACTACATGTATCAAAGAAAAAAAAAACCTAGACAGCTACACGTATTTTATTTTTGCAATACACTAGTACATGAGGATACTAGAACAAGAGTAACCTATTCCTATTCCAGTTCTTTAAATAATAATCCAACTTCTTCGACTAACTTCCACGTTTTAAGCAGTGAATGAATTATCACACAAACAAAGCAATTTAGCCATAGACTGTTTATCTCATTCAAAGTTTGATATCTAAAATTTGAAAGTTTGTCCCACCAAGGTAGCAGAGAAGTCATTAGCGAATAATGCCGATTTTGCATGGGGAAAATATATACGTGTTACATGTTGAAATAATGAAATATGATTCTATTTTACCCAAAGATTTGATTTTTTAAATTTTAATTTAATTTACAATTTAGGTGCTTCTAACGGCTACACATCTAGATTTTTAGGATTTTATGTTTATATATCTAACACAACACACATTAAAGATGGACATCTATGTTTCCATGACACGAACTACACCAGATCCACAATACCAGCGGTAGTGAACATAAGATGTCAAGCACACGGACAATATGTCATATATTTCAACGAGAGACCTCAAACTTCATCAAATGCTGACCAGTTTTCTATATATGCACATAATGAACTGTGCGAAGTTGAGGTTTTCGGTATGTTTTAAAAGTATTTTATGTTGATTATTTTTCAAGGGGAAAAATTAATAAATGCACGTTGTATTGGGTCATTTAAGGTACATGTAGCATAAAACTCCCTGAAATATGTTTGAACTCATTTCTTACTAAGTGCTCTAAAAAAAAGAAAAATATCACTATGATGTCTATAATCAATGAGTTTTGTAAGAAAATTAAAAGAAAAAAAAGCTGTGATAGAAACATCCTACATATTGGTCACTAGAGAGCCTACATCGTAGATGTTTATGCCATCTATATGCGATATGACATTCCATTATTAAATACGAAGTAATTTATGATCCAAAAATAGTAGAGACTTGATATTTGTACAAATTTTTAAGGAGTCTCTATCATTTATACACAATAAAGCTCAGTGTCACATTAAGAGGTCAAAGGTCAAATTTTGTGGCGTCATCTAGTAACTCTTAATTTTTTGCATTGTAATATTCTTTAAATCGCAAAACTCTATGAAACTGTCGGATCAATTTCCATCATTTTGACGCATTATAAATTAGGTTCCATTTCAATGAATCTGTGAATTTTTCGTAAATGAATAACAAAAAAATATATATTGAATTATACATTTTCTCGTAAGAGAAACTTAGGAGTAGCATGCTTACATGTGAATTTTCAATACCTGGGCTATGCATGTTCCTTTTTCATCACATTTTACTCATATATACAATGTACTTGTATTATTATAATTTACTGAAATGTAGCAAAAGAAAAGTTTTTTAACAAACAAAAAAAAAAATCAAAGAAATTTGCAATAGATCAACTGGTAATTTTTAAACTTGCGCAAACTCAAGTCTTATATTTGAGTTAATAATCTTCTTATAGAGATCCGATAGGTCTTTTTCAAACCATGTTTGGAAAAAGTGTGTGGTTGAATTGTTTTTCATATTATAGTAAAAAAGAGATTTTGTATCTTAGAACAAAATTTCTAAGTAAAAAAATATGAATTTGCGGAAAATTTTGGCCTATCTCTTGTATAGTTACTTTAAACAGAACACTTCTGCTAAGGACATAGCTGCAATAATGTAGCCCTCTCCGATTTTTTTAATCTGATATTTTCAGGAGAGGGCTACAATTCCACTGCATCTCCGTAATGGTGCAAATATATCTTTTAGATACGGGCGACTGCAGGCAAAATAAATTGTTTTTGCATTCAACTTACTTCCAATAAGACGGAATTTTTATTCACTATCAACATCAAAGCCCTTTATACGCGAAAACAAAGTAAAATAAATCTGCGTGTTTTCCAGTCGTTCACCTCAGCAGCCATGACAGTTCTCGCGTGATGTACTGAGACTTGCGCTTGAAATTTAGAATTCACTTGATAATGTAAATGTCGGTGTTGATAAATGTTTGTGTTGTATGATATAACTAAACATCGATAAATAAAAGCATTCCACGTGATATTTTTATCATAAACAGTGATATTTATGCTTATAATAAGGGAAATCCATACAGATCCGCTCCCCTAGATCCCAAATTCTCATTGGTTGTCCCAAAATAAAATCGATCAAGGTCAGTAAACATGGCGGATAAATTCAAGTTGTTATGTTGACAAACACGAAAAATAACCGATATACGGATTGTTCTGTATATTTTTGGATCAATTCATGTCCTGCATAACTACATTTTATGAGTTCAGGTAAGATATGTTAATAAAATACCCAGTTACTGATAATTTGAGCCGAAATCTGTGCGGTAGTGAATCACTCCCGCACTTGCACCATTACGGAGATCCTAGGGAGTTGTAGCCCTCTCCCCCCCCCCCCAAAAAAAAAAAATGGAGAGGGCTACATTATTGCAGCTACTAAGGACACATTTGGAAATTAAAAACAAAGCTTGTGATGCCTTGTACACGTTTATTGAACGCCAAGGCAAAAGTGGAGCCAAAATTTTATCTCTCTCTCTCTCTCTCTCTCTCTCTCTCTCTCTCTCTCTCTCTCTCTCTCTCTCTCTCTATATATATATATATATATATTGCATAAATATTTTCTTGAAAAGTTTTTAAAGCCCTAGGTTTCAGTTTCTTTGCTTTTATTATTTTTTTACGTATTTTTTTCTTAATAAAATTAGGGTTACAAGGATTTATTGTTAGAAATACGGAGCGTTTAGAAAGTTGTCAGTGACATTTAAAAAGAGAAAATTAGGGAAATTAAAAAAAAAATGTCACAGAAAAAAGATCATATAGCAATGATCATGATGATTGTTCAGTATTGTTAGTCATATGAGAAGGACTTGTTTCCTTTATGATTTTTTTTTTTCTCATTTATAGGTTGCAACGACACAGGTTTTTATGGACCTACCTGTTCCTTGCCTTGCCCTGGTGATAACTGTCGATCTTGTGAAATAGATGCAGGTGTTTGTACTAGGTGTAAACCAGGGTACATGGGACATCAATGTGAATTACGTGAGAAAACAAAAACAAATAGCATTTTAATCAAATTATATATATTATACAATTATGGACTCTTTCGGTGGTGAATATGGTTTGTTATTCACCAGGAAAATATCAATATTGACCGAGGCGAGTCCATAATTGTTTTATTATATAGTCAGGATTTGAATGAATAAGACATTGAAGGCTGCATGGAGACTCCATTTTCATTATCGAACTTCTGTCGTAGAAAAATAAAAAACAAAGTCCAGATTATAACTTATAACTTCCGTGTTTTCCTTTCGCTGTGTGTAAGACATTGAAAAGTTTGGAAAATAATCATACGAGAAATTTCCTAAAAGTTTTCCTGCTCAGATATATAAAGCATATTCAGCTGGCTCCGGCCGTTGCAACCATTGTTTTCAACGTTGTTTCAGGACGATTGTGACGTCACAATGCCGCTGCACGTGCACTGACCCTTCGGTGAATACGGCTTCAAATCCAGTGAATATGTAGTATTATGAACTGTTTGCGTTTTTATAGATATATATGTATATATAGGTGACCATTGGGTTGTCCCAGAATAACGCGAACTTTTTTCAATATTCTTCGTTTCACTAATATTATAAAGTTAAAAATTGCCATGCACTATAAACAACATCATAGAAAGAGCTTAAACCACAAAGGGGCTAAATCGGCCATTTTTTTCAGGAGAATTAAACTGAGGGAAAGAAGAAAATTAACAATAGAAATATTATCCTTGGGTATCAAACTTAAATAGTTTATGCCATTTTTTTTATTTAATGACGTCATATTTATACAGAAAACGTCTAAACACGTTCCCTCTGCTAGTTTTTATCGAAATAAAGAATTTTTTTCGTCTTTGGTTGAAATTTTTGCTGTGGCCACACCCTTCGAACAAAATAAAATTTATACCATTGAAAAGAGGATTAAAATATGAATAAATAAAGTATATTTTTATTTTGTTCGAGGGGTGTGGCCACATCGAAATTAATACTTTTCGTTCGATTCAAATATCTTAGCACCGACCCACACAGTGAAAATAGCGGGGATAACCCTACATTAACAGAAAAGAAAAAAAAATCTATATTGTTTTTGTAAATATTAAAAAGTTTCCAAATGCGAATGTTATATTTATTATAACTTATTTTGTTTTGTGGTGCAAAAAAGTACGAAAACCTCTCGCTATATAAGCATGACTGCATGTAGATGCAATATTATGTCGACATTTTGTGTGCTACGTGCCTCAGTCTTGACCCAAGACTTTTCCTTCAAGTAGCTGATCTATATTTAAATCATCATTATGCTGAAATGTTTAAAACAATAATGTGTTCTCTTTTCCTCTAACAGCCTTTTTATTTATGCTTTGAATATTTGTTTTCAAACTCCCGGCTCCTCGTCACCATGGTCACTATGTAATCAAAGGGAGATCACCCGAGAAACATGTGTACATAGGCAACATATTTATTTTCTCCTGAGCGACCGTATCGGAATAGCCTAGAATATTAAACAAATTACATCGGATGCAACTACCAAGACGTATTTATAATGATTGTTTTGCCACCTTGCAAAACATAAATGTCGTGAAGTCTGCATCGACAGCATACAAATGGTTAATGTTACGCAATAGAGTCTATAGATTATATCTACACGTATTATAATTATAACCCATACCCAACATGCGTTTCAGAAATCGCCAGTGGCATTTTAAGACAAAAGATTAATATTTATTAGTGAAAACCTTCACTGATCCGAGACCTCTTAACATGAATTATGTTACGAGGTACTGAACCTAGAAAATTCGAGTTGACAAATCAAATAAACAATAGATTGATTTTACAGATCGCGTGTAATTTTGTGATGGGCCTCTATAAGAAAAATGCCCTATATTGTATAAACGAATAACTTACTACCAAGGCAGTGGCAACTCTTTATGGTTTTAAGTAATTTCAGCATCGGATGCATGCTGTGACCTAGCCAACACATGAAACAAAATGTCAAAGGGAGGCTACTTGCTACCTCTTTATTTTGAGTTACTTCGCTTAAATGTAACAGGCCCAAGGGAAAAGGACAACCAAGATTAGCAAGCATGTTTATACATGTAGTAGTGTAAATTCATAAAGTTGGAACTAGAGCATTGATATAAAATAAGAAGCAAAAAATTAAAAAAAAAAATCCCTATTACATCTACAAAAAAAAAGACAAGGGTTATTGGGGGGAAGAGGGTTTCGGGATTCCCATCCTCACTCATTAAATACGTGGGACAGTTTAAAACAAGAAAGTAGTAAAATGAATAAATAACAATGCCAATTATATTAGTCCTTGTAAATATAGTTTAAAAAAATAAATTCAATAAGCAGTTTTCATTTTTTTTTAAATCTCCTTGATAAAAATTTAATTTGAAAACGATTGATTTTTCGTGACTCGGTCATTGCATAAATTTATTATAGATCCCAGGCCCGTAGATAGCAATTTCAGTTGGGGGGGGGGGGGCGCAGCCATAAATTTTCAGTTGGGGGCACTATCAACTACCAGAATTCCTTGACAAGCAAAAAAAAGGGGGGGATGAGACGTTTTTATTGACGGGACACAAGCATTAAGTAGCTTTGTTTAATATAGTATTCTGTATATCGGCAAAATTATGGGGGGGGGGGGCATGGCCAACCTCCTCCCCCCCCCCCCGGTCCCTATGGCCATGTATCATGAATGTATTATTATTATTAACGGACATAACTGCTAATTTTACCTATCATATTTGTTTTTTTGAAAGGATGTCTATATAGAATATAGCTTCATAGATCGGGCATTTGAACATGGTATTTTTTTTTTGTCGCTCGACATGTGGTCTATATATTTTTTTCGACGGTATGTAATGATAGCCATTTAATACTGCCAGTTGCTGTTTTTCGTATATTTTTGTTAATTACGAAGAGTAACGATCCGAAAATGTCCATGTTAAAAATCTCGTATGCAATATGTATACGATATTATGATTATTTTATTGTCTTCTGTACTCATTATCGCCTACCTATTTGTAGTTGTGTTAGAAATTGTACATGGAGAAACGAAACGTTATTTTAAATATATGAAAATTATAAGTAAAATGTTTAAAGTGGTGTTGAACTATATGAAAGTCTTAGATGTTGTTATGTTTTAATTTAGTTTTCACTTCTCACCAGATAATCATTACTTTATGATTTTATTAAAAGGGTTTTAATAGGCACTCCCAAACATGGGAGTGTGTAAGATATGATTATATGATAAGAAAACGATTAGTTAGCAATAATTAATTCGATCGTTTTTGTCTTCTGAAATCTCTTTTCATATCTATTGTGGGTATATAAAAAACGTTTCTCTTTGATGATATAACATATTTATCATAGTTAATGAACTTTATTTCGATTAAGTAATTTACATTGAGTAAAGTGGTATATGTGCCATTTCCGTTTATCTTGTTTTTTTTGCTTTTTTTAACTTCAGGTTCCGTTTTGAAATTCAAATATTTTGGAAATCCTGTGTTTTCGTTGGACTATTAATTTTACTACATTAATTCAGTTTTACTCAAATATGATGGATTAACACTTTGTGTTTGTTTTCAGCTTATTGTGTCTCTTATAATCATTTAAAACGTGTTACATGTATCAACGATTATACCAGACAACCGTTGTATATAACAAATATTTGGCATTTCTTTAGAGTACAAATAGCTTTAATTAAAAAATAAACCAAAAGTTTTCAGAACTTCTTAAAAAATTCATTGTAAAATGTTCCCAAAATTTTAAAGAAGAGCATATATTGGTTATTTTTATTCCATTAACGTTCATATGTTACTTTCTTATACAAAATATCAACGTCACGAGGTTAAAGTATGTAACGTCAACTTAAAGACGTGATAGTATTAATAAGGAAAACAATACCAAATTTAAACGAATGTATAAATAAAACAAGAAAAGATATTGTTAAAAAATAAATTGTTTTACAACATACAAATCTTAGAGTTTTATGTGAGAAAGTTTCATTTATATTGATGACTGGGCCGATTTAGCCCCTTTGTGGATTTAGCTCTTTCAATAAAATCTCTCTATAAATAACATTTTTCTCTCTGATAAATTACTGATTCAAAGTAGCATCCGGCGCAACACCAACGACGTCGAAACGTAGCTCGTGGAGTTTTTGGATTTGTCCAGGAATCGTGCGTCTTTAAAAATTCGTTCAAAGGAGAAATTCAATAATGCATTTGATTTTTTTTACGTACCAAATTATCCATTTCATGCGATGTACAGTTACGAATAAAAAAAGGAATTAATTCTCTTAATAGACAATTCCCCAACCCCAATCATCAACTTTAGTACGCGTATAGTTAACGACGGTCTCCACGTATGACGTCCAGCTCTAGACTTTTTAGGTTGTCGTCATACTTGTTGGTCTAACAAACGCTTCTTCCATCGGAAAACCAGTTCATCCATCTTTGAACTTCTTTTATTCGGTATAAATCAGTGTTCAATACATATATTTGTGTCGTTCCCTCGTTCCCAGCTCTTTTCCCGTATGAACAGGAGTCATCCCCCGCTCCACACAGTAATGAGTGATAATTTGGTGCGCCGCATTATCGCCCGACGTCGCCTTTTTCAACAATATTTAACTAATAGTGTTTTGTCATATAACGTCATTTTTTTTTTTTTTTTTTTTTTTTTTGTTATTTATGATATCAAAGTATTATTTTTTTACACACAAGTACTTTAGATCGTACAGTTTCTATGGATGTAATGTTTGTCACATTATATTTCCGTATAGCCTTGTAATGAAGAGAAATACAGAGGGCAATGTCAATTCTGAACGTCAAGAAATTGCCGTGCGCCAACCACCGATATTTAATATCATTTAAATGCTGTTTCTAAATGCATATGACACTCCAACTTTACAGTATTTGGTAAAAATGACGAAAATATCATTTCCCAACATTGTGCCAAAAATGAATAATTTTGGTAAGGTAGTTTATGAAATATTTAAAAAGTTCGCGTTCTTCTGGGACAACCCTTGTATATATATATATATATATATATATATATATATATATATATATATATATATATATATATATATATATATATATATATATATATAACGACCTATAGTAACAAACAAATCGTACAAGATCGTGAGTGAAACGGGCTCAATCGTTTGCGGGTTTAATAGTGCATGACCGTGCGGTAATAGCCGTGCAAATTTAATTTTGCCAGTTTTTAAAAGAATGTAAATTGTAAAAAAAAAAAATCTTTTGGTTGTGTTTTTCCCCAACTATTAGTTTGTTTTTTTTTTTTTAATTAATACATCGAAAATTTCTGGTATTACTTTAGTGAATTGCGATTTTGAGATTAATTGATTAATTAATTAATTAATTATCGCTAGTAAATACCTCAAAAAGTTAATTCGTACAATATAATATTCTCCTAAAAAACCGTAACTTATACCGATGAAAAGTATTTTAGATGTTTAACTTCTTTCCTGGTGTTCTTTTATAGTTCTTTTATAAATATTTAGTCGGCGAATATAGATGACATGATAGCATTGATTGCTGTAATCCTGGTTACTTTATTTTCATAATTTTTTATAAATTCTGCAAATAAATGAAGTGTTAAAAAAAACAGCTGATGTTAAAGATGTACAAATAAAAGGAAGGATTTAATATTATATTTATATTTATATATAATTATATTAATTTCCCAATAACTAAAATGAATTTGAATTACCACATTATATTGGATGAACTTTATAAAAATCCTTACAAGCAAAGACACAAAGCGGGTTGCAGAAAATGTTCTATCAAGCCTCTTTCTTTACTCCTCACAAAAATAATAACAGTAGTGAAGGAGAAACCTCAAGGTACTGTGCAACAATTTATTCGAGAAGTGGTGTAAATCAGATGTGGATATTAAAAAATTCTATGGAACTTATGGAACATTTGAAATCATAAAATTTTACCAAAATCAACACCATACAAACCTACGACTTTTAAACTTCATATACATCTGTTCCCCATGATAAATTAAGGTCAAGACTTTCTGACATCGCTACAGCTGCTTTTTCAATAAAAATGGAACTCGAAAATTTACTTACCTTGTCATTAGTCATTTGCAAAATTACTTTGTTAAAAAACATTCTGAAATTTTCACAGAAGTACTCAGAAGTTGACATTAAACTGATGCTCGAGTTTCTGATTGACTGGGTATTTTTTTTTATAAATACAATTTTAATTCCTCCAGACGGATATTCCTCGTATTGATATTACTCACAATAGTACAGATTATATGGTATAGTCCTTTTAATATGGTGGGGGTGGCACGGTCCGAAATTCAGATATCGGTGTGTATCTAACGACCTATAGTATATATCCGTATCTAAGCTGGTATTATCTATATGAAAATCAAGAAACAATTAATGGCTCTTGCATACCATCGGTTTCCATCGTGAATTTGATGTCCGTGTTCATTTGGTTTAGTAGATAGTAAAACTCTAATAATTGTTGACATCATCATCCCATAAGATAAAACAATCATCTAATTTTTTCCCATTTAGACTGTAAATCATTAGAAAATTCTATCCTCCACAACGTACATAGTCATGTTACTTATGTTCTAAATAACCTTTAATGTTAATGTTGCATAGGTAGGTGCGACTTTCGTACCCTTTGTAGTTCCCTTAGTTTGAAGGTAATGATTGACAGAAAAAGTAAATGAATTGTTTTCTAGAATAATTTCAGTGCTTCTAAAATTAAATCCTGTTGGAGTTCGTCATTTAATACATTGAAATAATTTTCCATCCAAAACTTTACGGCTTCCAACCCTTATTCTGTAGGAATATTGGTATATAAGCTTATAAGATCAAAAGTGACAAGTTTAGTGTTAGAGGTGATCTGGGTTGGTAATGATATAATATAAATTCCAGACGCAGCTATGTTAAGGCTGTCTGAAGGCTTAATATGTGATAAAGCTATATATTTTGTTTTGAGCTAGATTTTAATTCAATATGTAATCTATGTATGAATTTGCAGTCAACCTGTGATGAGAGTGTAATGAGGTATTATAATAAATTATTTTTGTGATGTCACATGACTTTGTTGATCACGTGAAGGACACTTCCGAATATTCCTACAATAACCGCATCGGCACAAGTACAAAACAGAAATACTGTAAAAAGTATGTTTTACGAGTCAATTCATCGTGATCTTTGGTGCATATAAAGTGCTGGGGCAAGTCTGAATTTCACATCTTAAGAAAATATTTCAAAAGAAATTTAATTTTACCCAAATACAATGCTACTCCCCACTGTTTATCGCAATCTGTACAAAAAAAGTATAAATTACATACAATCCCCCAGCCAAATTCAGTAAGAAAACATTTTTCTCTAGTAGATTCACACAGAATAACTTCTATTTATCCTTATTAATCACTTGTGCCAGTCAAATATTCGCACGATTCATATATTCTCACTCTATCTACTGGCGTGTAAGGGGAGCGTTTCACATTCATTTTAGTGTTATTGTTTGAATATGTGCATATCGGACAAGCAAAATTAATAACAATATTAAATTGGAAATGTTAAACATCATAATAGAATAATGGAGCTTGAAAACAATCCAGACACTTGAATTAGCCAATAAAGCAAAAAAAATGCCATATGTCATGTGAAAAGGAATGTACAAGTTATGACACTTTCCCCGTCATGTCAGCTCAAGTATGCAGTGACATGGCGTCATATGCTATTATAACGTCATACCTAGGTAGTTCAGAAAAATTATTACAGTTGGAACAGTTTGATATTTTACGAACAGCCTTATCTTAGCCGCATATCGTCTCTTACAAAGTTGGTTTGGAAAATGATTTTTTCTATGGTGTCGCAAACGGCATCCAAAGTTCGATTTTTTTTTTCTCGTTTTGGATTAAAAATAGATTTATTTCCTACCAGGTATATTTGTTCTGCCGCTTGAGACTCGGAATTTCATTTATTGGTATCACTTTAATGAAAATGTTCATATAGCCTGAGTCGACGAGCATAGGCTTTAATATCCATTTTAAGCTTTTGAATAATCAAGCCCATGATTATCAAACCCAATCTTTCAAAGGAAGAAGAAAAAGCTCTAAAAACCTTATGTGATGACCTTACTACATGTATCATTATTAAAAAGGCAGATAAAGGAGGTGGAGTCGTCTTAATGAAGAACGATTTTCACAAAAATTGAATCTTACAAATTTTTCAAGAAAACTACTTTTCTGAAAGACTGCACAATTGATATGAAAAAAAATATATACTAAAATAAAAAGTTAAAATAAAACAAATAAAAAATATAAAATGACTTGTTTAAAAATCGTTATTTTAAAGAAATGTCTCTTGTTTAGTAATTTGTATATAAATATGTAGAAAATTAAAAGAAAAAGAAATAAGAAAGGTATATTACCAAGCTTCATTGTTTGAACAATAAAATGCTTTCTTTCTTTGCAAGCACTGTTATTCGCGCGTAAACAGGTTTTGTATTTCTTTTTCTGTAAATTATGTAACTACAATCGTTTATTTCTTTAAAAAAAAAAAGAAAAAAAAATCATTCACATTTCTGTCTTTATAAATTATCATATAAAGTAGGTTTTAGTATTGAATATTGTATTATTTATATGTATTGATGTTTTATTGAATGAAAAGCACACTTCATTTGAAATGTATATAGGCGTCTTTAAAAGGGATTTTACTACATTACCGGTGTGTACCTATTGGTAAAAGAAGTGTTTTTCGTAGAAAAATAAAGGAGAACATATTTAGTGGATGTAAATATTAGTGTGAAAAACGATGTAAGTGATTGGATGAAATGTTTTCAGCCTGTAGTTATTCATTCTACGGGAATCTCTGCTCTCTGAAATGTGGCAACTGTAGTTCTGGCGCGACGTGTCACCATGTCAACGGAAGCTGTACAAACGGATGTGACGTCGGTGTTTATGGAGATAAATGCAATACACGTATGTGCATTTTTTTTAAATCCAAATAGATTTTTTTTTTTTTTTTTTTTTTTTTTTTTGGCAAACATTATTTAATTTTTGTTGACTTCTGTTGTTGACAACTTCTTTCGCTATTTATAGAAGTGACGTTAAAACGACCTGGTACTGCTCTTCTTTTCATTTGACGTCCTGATTTTTATATATAATGAAATATATTATTTTTCTGATTTTTTTTTGGCTTCGACATACTATAAAAATTAAATTTTCCAAGAATAATTACTTGAAATAAAGTTAACGCATATCTGTGTAAAATGTGTAACTCTTATAAATTGCAAAAGCCACGCATAAACATTTACTAAAGCTATTCACTGTAAAGACGTCAATGAGTTTTACACTAACAGAAGCACTTCACTCTGATGTCATCATGTGACGTCTATAAATTGAAAAAAAAAAATGCCGTAAAGAACACTACCAGAGGGATAATTCAGTTTTTGAAAGATAATTTTGAGTAAAGTGAGTAAAGGCTAGGTATAAATGTTTCTTTGCAAGTTAGCTAAAAATGCATAGGAGGTATATTGATTATACAGTTAAAGTTTGGGTTTATTTCTTATACATACTTGGTACCCACGAAATGTAAAGTCAGTGCACATTATGGCATCATTATTCTCTACCACAGAAAGTGATGAATTAAAAAGCTTTGTTGAAAGGGCATGCCCTATTTATTAATTTTTTTTTTTATAAAAAATGTATAAATCTAAGAAAAAAATTCTAAAGTTGGCTAAAATTACTTCACAAATCCTATGCATTTTTTTCTGATTTGATAAGAATTTAAGGAAGCTTTACCTGGAATTTGATTTTTTTTCCCTGTTTCAACTTAAAACGTTACCAAAAGTAACTAAACAATTGAACTTTAGACATTTTTGCAGCAATATTAATACATGTAATCTTTTCCGTTGCAACACACAATTTTGAAAATTTGAATTGATAATGATTCTCTTTTTTTCAAACTTTATTGGATTTTGATGGCTTTAAAAAAATGAAAAAAAAATATTTTATTTATTTATTTTTTTTTTTAATTAATTAATTAATTTTTTTTTTTTACATACGATAGAGGAAGTTTTATCAATTCATGTTTACCATACGATTTTAGCGGCACTTTGCAAGTACGGTAGAATGCAAACTTTCGTTATTAACAAATTAAAATATGTTTTAGAGTATTCAGAGTGGTGTTGAACTTTTGCATCTTTGTTTTGTAAAGAACGGCAGAGGAAAGACTGATCGGAATTTCTAAATAATGCCTGTCTTCATCCAAAAAAAAAAAAAAAGATAATTAAAAAAAATCAATTTGTGTACTTGATTTTTAATTTCTAATTCCTAATGAATCGGATATGATTTTCACGGAATATACTTTTAAACTCCAATTTCATATATTTTTTTGCATGAAATCTCGTTAGTTTCAATTTCATTCGGAAAATATTTGATCAACAGTTATGATTTCATGGGTTAAACATTTCACCCATGATAAAAACCTCGCTTGTTAATAACATCCACAAATATAGTTTATATTATAATTTGTTTATTTTAAGCAATTTCAAGGACCTGAAATAAATCTTAATACATTTTTATTTAGAGATTGTTATCTTTAAAATTCATGATATACAGCTTACTATGACTTCCTATTGTATAGGCAAGTAGAATAATTTTGTGTAGTTTAAACATACCCGCAAAGATATCAGCTTAGATTTTTAGAGCCTTTATATAATGATTTCAAAATGTTTTTATGAAAAAGCCTTGAAATGTTCTTCAACAGAAATGGTTTAAAAGTACAATGAAGCTGGTCTGCAAATGATGACCCAGAACCATGGTCAAAGCACACGTGCAAGACACGTGTGTTTGATTTTTTTCTTGTTTAATCTTTCAAATGTACTGCCTGAATTCCATTTTTCACTCAAAAAAATTGCCTGGATTTAAAAAATGTTATAAAGCTGATAATAAGATATATGTATGCATTTGAACAGATATATTTATATTGATCCTTTTTCTGGACAAGGCAGAAAAACTACAGATCTTAAAAGAATATAATTGCAATCTTCAACTGGTAACCACTAAAAGCATGTCCCCTTAGGTACAGTCCTCTAATAAATAAACTACACAAAAATATCCTATGGTAAGTTTACTATCTTGGCTTTTTTTCTATTAGCGTGCTCTGATGGTTGGCATGGAAGGAACTGTTCCACAATATGTGATAAATGTGATTCATGCGACAGATTCACGGGGGAGTGTACGTCTGCTTGTAAAACAGGTTGGAAAGGTCCTTTTTGCACGGAAGGTAATGTATTTTAAGGAAAAAATCGAAGTAATATACATTTTCGATGCTAACAAAATACTTTGAACGAGGAAATTCATTAATTCTAGAACAATTACTTCGTGAACATAATCAATATATGGTTTCCGATTCTCTTTCTTTATAGTTCAATTAAAAGATGATGAAATTCGTGCTCAATAAACTACTCTGATTGTTCCCTCTTCTCTAGCTCATATATTTTGACATGTTTATTAGACTTTTTACATCAGTGATTGTAATATTATGACAGTTTTCACGTAGCGTATAATAACACGATACTGAAGATACGGGATGTTAACAATACCGTATAAATATAAGAAAGCATCGTTTTCATAGATGGAGATATTTCCTGTTTTGAGTACATTAAAGCGATAAAAAAATATTAAAGAAGAAGACAATGTATATTAATATATTCTCCGAACTGTTAATATTTTTCGTCATTATCTCACTTCTGGATGCCGAAAAACAATTCTGTGGTAACACCAATTTTGTTTTCTACATTTATTTCAATATTAATATATTGCACCTTTTTTTCCCGAATTTTGGAAAATTTTCATAATTGATATTTGGACAAAAATACTTAAAAAGATCAGCCTGAATTTGGGCAAAGAGGGAATCAAAAAACCCTCAAACATGCATGATGTTTACTTGTACATCAAAACCTGAAAAAAGGATTATTATTAAAAGTCTGCATTTTGTTCATTTGATGCAGGTTTGTGCATATCTTTACATTACCAAGACATTCAGAAAGGAGCTAGAATTATCGGAACATTACCATTATGTTCCAATAAAAATGAGTTTGAAGGGGTTCTTTTGTGTTTATTTTTTTTTTAAATTAATTCATTTCACCGAGTTGCCCGGAAGAAGAGATTTATAGAATGTTTTTATGACATACATGCATTTTTTTCAACTATTGGCTGTATACATTTATTGAATGGATTCGAGAGTAATATGCGTTTTGTTAGCCCCAAGAACAAAACTGTTTGCCTGAGGCCGTTAGGCCGAAGGCAAACAGTATGGTACAAGTGTTCAACAAAACGCATTTTGCCAGAGAACACAGTCAATAAATGTTTTGTTATACCTTTTAATTATTTATTTTATTTATTTATTTATTATTGTGAACACAATCCAAATCAAAAAGAGAAAATCAAAATTCTTTTTTTTACCCAGTTTTTACAATCTGAAGTCATTTTGGCCTGAAAAACCTTATATGTGTCTCTACAAGTTCACTTTTTGGTGATTTTTTAGGTTTTCGAGGAACGTTCTTCTCTATACATTTCAAATTATTTGTCATTATAAGGCATTTGAGGAACTTTCTTCTCTCTTATAAACTCGTATTTTTAAGTACCACTAATCTTACCACATCAGGCAGAGAGAGGAATATTCCTCTCTCTTACAAAGTTGTATTTTTAAATAACTCAGGAATCTTAACACATTGGGCATTTGAGGAACGTTCCTCCCTTCAGTTCACATATCTGTATACACCTCATGAATGATCAAACATAAGGCATTCGAGAAACGTTCCTCTCTGAAATTTACCTATATATATTTAAACATCTTATAGACATTCACATGCGAGGAACGTTCCTCTCTCAGATTTCTAGCTATTGATACCTTATTCATAAAGTTTATTACAGCAGGCATATGAGGAACGTTCCTCTCACAAATGGTTGCATTGCTGTTGAGTACTATATCTTGTGAAGCTTAAGATTTGCATTTGAGGAACGTTCCTCTCTCAAATTCACATATCTGTAGACAACTCATGTATGATCAAACATCAGGCATTTGAGGAACGTTCCTCTCTCAAAGTTTCCTATATCTTTAAACATCTTACACTGCATGTTTTCGTATGACACACTGGAGGAACGTTCCTCTCTATGCATGCATAAAGCATTGAGGGAACGTTTCTCTTTAGTACATGAAATGCAGTACATATTTGTAGAAACTTTTTTTTTGTTTTTTATCCGAAATCACTATAAATAAATATATATATATATATATATATATATATATATATATATATATATATATATATATATATATATATATATATATATATATATATATGAAAAGTCATTTTGACATTTTAAAAAATATTTTAGTAAAGCTATGTTAAAGTATTATATCAATCACACACAAAGAAATATTTGACTTTAGTACAAGTATGTGCAATGTACAGTATACATGTATCAACACAAATTCAAGGGACTTGGATGACATATGATGCATTTGAGATTAGTTCTAGGAAAATTAATTGCAGAACAAATGCAAGCTTCCATATTTAATATATTAAAACTCCAAAATCCCCCAAATAATCTTCCTCTCTGAATAATTGTCACTGCACATATTTTCAAGAAGATTTAAAATTCAACATGATGTAAAAACTTATTACAAGAATTCCAATGTTTTGTTGTACTTGACTTTAATGTATGTTTAAACTATTCAATGTTGTTACAAAATACAATTCAGAAACTTCAAAAGTTTCATTACTACACCTAGAAAGCTTTTCAAACAATATGCTACCCTTTTCACTGAATGGCATTCACATTACTTTCTACAATGTCTACCTGGGTTAACATCCATGTTTTTTTAATCTTAAACACCGAAACTAAACCATATCATTGAGGATCACCATGGTTCTTTCTCAGTTACATCTTCCTTTATACCGGTAATAGGGAGAAAACCTGTATCCAATTCCTTGGTCTCCAAAAGTTCATAAATGCTTTTTTCATCAACAAATTCTTTAGTGTCATCATCTGTTGGAAAAATGTCACATTCAGTATCAAATTTTAAAATCTAAATAAAGTAAGAAATTAAGGACCCTCCTGATTTTCAAAATTGTGATTTAAAGATAAAGTAGCAGAGACAGAATATTAGAAAATATTTATATAGTGGTAATGTCTCATCTAAAATGAGATTAAAAAAAACAGTGAAAAATGGAGAACTTGGATTAAAATTTTGAAATTTTATTTGCTATAAATTATGAAAATACATGTATAATCTTGAAAAACAAAAGGTAATGTTCTCAGAGAAGTGTTCATTTTGTGAGGTCTTAATTGAGACCCATACTCCTCACATAATTATCTTTATTCACCTTTCTTTGAAATAGACATTGTATCTTAGACATCACATAAGAATCTCTCTCACAAGTTTTAATTTGTTATCTGTTATATATGATAATAATTATAAGGTCATAATTTGGAAAAGTTGCATTTATCCTTCTCCAAAGAAAAGTGCAGCTGTCAAATTTTATTTCATAAGTTTATACACATGTATATGTATTTTCCTTTAATCTACAAGAACTTAATTTAATTCTGATTCTCATTTATACTTTGCATTACCTTTCAGATAAACTTCAAAAACTGAAATCTGTGTCTTTATAAAAATGAAGTATTGACTCTATAGTGATTTGTCTATTAACACCCTCCCCCCTCTCCAGATCATTCTTTATACAACTAACTTTGACATACTGCTCATGCCCTGTTCACAGATTACTTGATATCAATCAATGCCAATCAATATCTGGTAGGGAAACATTATGAAATTTGCCTAAACCAGCTCTTGCAATTATCTATCCCCTATCTATCCCCTGAGACTGCAGGGGGACAGGCTTCATGGACAGTGAAGACCAGTGCTGATGATATGATGATATCTGATTACTTGCTGAAAGTTTATATCAGTCAGGTTCTAATAATAGATACAGATCTGCAGTTAGAAGATCGAATCAATTAATTAAGAGAATTTAACATTCTGTAATTGAACTGATTAATTTCAATTCCAACTCCTTAAAAATTAGGATAATGTCAATATATTTAAAAAGACAAAAGGAATGTAGGTAATGTAGCTTACAATTGAAATCACTAAAGCAGAATTTAATTGTTTTTTTTTAAATAACTAAGAGTTGTTTTTTTTTTTTTTTTTTTTTTTTTTTTTTTTTTTTGAAAATTATTTTTCCCACTGAAATTCTTAATTAGAAACTATAATTCCACACTGCTGTTTTAATTGTCCTTTGACACGAAGCAATTAAATTATACTTTATTGTATCGCTAAACTTATTTTAAAAAATAACCTGCTAAGCACAGATAATATATATTAAGGCCTATAGGTGGCAGTAATCATAAAACACGATATCAAATTGCCAACTGGTGACAAAAATTAAAGCACTGCAGCTTTTCTTAGCTCTGCTTAGCATTTTAAAAAATTGAAGTATTTCTAGCAAATTTAACAGCATTCTATGGTCAATGTATAGAAGTATATATTCCCAGTCCCTTTTAATCATGCTCTTATTGGTATAGCATTACACACTTCAGAGCAATCTTTAAAAATAAAATAGATATAAAATTCATAGATAGCATAAGAATACTTATAATTTAGCCTCAAAAAAAGGTTTTACATTATCTTAACCTTTTAAGTGTCGTAGATGTAAATGTTAATGACTGCAATGATCTAATTAGGTAACAAGGTCTTGACCGCAAATCAAGTTGGCTGGATTGGGAGAGGGTATCAAGTTTTGACATTTATTGCTGAGTTTCAGAACAGGATAAATATCGGAATAAATTGACAATGTTCACTGCCAGTTATTATAAGTCAGCAATTTGTGCAGTTCCAATACTGAGTGCAGAATTTTATGTCCAATTAATAGTTTCTCAGTCATGTCCTTTATGTAAAGCGTTACATGGAAATACAAAATTAAACTTTGTTAGAAACTTTAGACATCATTTTTGTGTTGCCTGGAGAGCAGAGCGGTACTTAGGGATCACTTTACCCGGCGTTTGTCCGTCTGTCACACCTTATATCTCGAGAACTGTAAAAGGTATGGAATTCATATTTTGCACATGTAAAGCTTTGCACGTTGGCTTTTGTATTTTACCATGATTACCGAACTCCTGACCCTTGAATCTGACCTCTGACCTACTTTTTAAAATAGTTCACAGTGCCGATATTCAATTTATTTTTGACATTTAAGAGCTGAGTCTAGGCTATTT